GTTCGGTTTGTTAAGTAAGACCTGAACCATTTCAGAGCCACACCTGTTATACCGACACACTGCTCCAAACGTGAGATTAAAATTTCATGGTCTACAGTGTCAAATGCAGCAGTTAAATCGAGTAAAATAAGAATGACACTTTCACCAGAATCACATGATAAAAATATATCATTAAAATTTTTTAAAAGTGCTGATTCAGTGCTATGCATTGCTTTAAAACCAGATTGAAAAATCTCCTGAACATCTTGTGCATTCAAGTATGAGATCAATTGGTCATATACAATTTTTTCCAAGACTTTAGATAAAAAGGGCAGCTTAGATATTGGTCTAAAGTTCTCAACAGCGTTTGTATCTAGCCCAGGTTTCTTAAGAAGTGGTTGCACAATTGCATCTTTGAAATTCTTTGGAACCACACCTGAAGTAAGGCTGCTATTTAAAATGGTTAAAATAGTTGGACATATGGTAGAAAAAACTTCTTTCAGAAAAAGGGGAGGGATAGGATCATATGGTGAGCCTAAAGGCTTTAAATGATCCACCACCTCCTGTAGCTGAGCAAGAGTAACCGACTCAAACTGTTGAAAGACAGCTGAGCAAATTGGAAGATCAGAGGGGTCAGATGTGGGCAAAATAATCTGCGCCCTAGCCGAGGCTACCTTGTTTAGAAAGAAGTGCAGAAACCTTTCACACATTTCAAGTGAAGGCTCAAAACTAAGAGCAGAGGGAGGGCTTAAAATAGTCTCAATTGACTTAAACAATATGTGTGGTTTCTGATAATTCACCATAATAATGTTTGCAAAGTGTTTCCGCTTTGCTTCTTTTATTGTAAGCTGATATAAGGCCCAGCACTCTCTTAAACTTTGTAAAGAGACCTGTAAGTTATCTTTTTTCCATCTCCGCTCAGCCCTACGACATTCACGCCTTGCAGCACGGGTTTCATCGTTCAACCAGGGTTCAAGCTTTGTCTTAGGATGCTTAATTTTTAGAGGGGCAACAATATCCAAGACAGTCTGACAAGTGGTATGAAACCAAAAACTGAGTTCCTCTACATATTGGAGTGTCTCAGGAATGGAGAACTGATTATAGTAGGTGGAGAACCGTGCTGCCGTGGAAGAATTTAACAAATGAGATGTCTTTGCAGGGACAAGCCCCCTGAATTCATTTCTAGATAAAGAGATGTCAAACAGAACCGGCATATGATCAGAGAAAACAGGATCGGAGACTTTCAGATTAAAAACAGGCAATAAGTGGGCTAAAACCAGATCGAGAGTGTGACCACACTGTTGCGTGGGTGCAGACACACATTGAACTAAATTAAAAGAATCAGTAAGATTCAAAAAGTCTTTAACCATGGGCTTATCTGGACAGCACACATGAATATTAAAATCCCCAACAATAAGAAAGGAGTCATATTTTATCGTGACTTCAGTTAGAAATGCAGCAAATTCCTTTATAAAGTCTTTACTG